ATTATATATACACACATATATACTACATATATATATACACACATGTATTTTATATATATGTACAGTATATATTGATATATTTCAGATATAAAATCAGGGTTTCAACCTGAGCCCCTTGAACTCAGCTCCACAAACAAACCACATTATTCTTTCCAGTTCCAGTTCTTGGTTTTATCCTAAACTATGTTTTGCAAAAAAACCCAACCAAACCAACCCAAAACCATCCCAGAAAATCTCCACGGACCAAGAGTTCATGAAGAAAGGAAATGTGAGTCAATGTTCCATTTACCAGCTGCTTCCTCTGGGAAGGCACAAACCTTTGGAGCTGTGATGTGTATGATTTGTTTTCGAAGGAGCAGAGGGTGCGCCACGATAAACCCATTACACCAACATCTGCGCGTCCTCTGATTCTCTTCCCAGTTCCTTTGACTCCACTCACTCCATTAAGACCCGCAGCCAACAATTTTACATATCTGTCTGAACACTCCTTGAACTGCCTAAATATTTTGCCAGCAGCTTCCAACCGCAAACCATTTAATCCCTAATTTGTAACAGGGTGTGCCAGCCTTTCCAAAAAAAAACCCCTGAATACGTATGATCCAGCCAAATGTTTGAGATTAACCTAAACAAAGCAGCTAGAATGGGCAATAATGAATGTGAACTTCTGGGAATATTTCACAAAGGTGTCAGCTTCTCTACAGAATGCCAAGCAATTGGACATCTACTGGACACCCAAATCTGCATCACGCTGATGTGGCCAATATGCCAGACCCAAGCCTGCCATACGGTGCCCAAGCATTACTTCTATGTAGTAAAAATACAATTGGGCTATCACGTTTTCATCGTCGTTTTAGGCAATAACTCACTCTGAAAGTCAGATCACGTGCAAGAGGAGAGGTGTTGAAATACTCAAAGATGGAATCTTGAAAGTCGGGAAGTTTGAGACCTAAAACCCAAAGCAGAACAGGTTTAGTTAAAAGGCAACATCGCAGCTGGTGTCAGAGCTCTGTCAAAACACAGGAAACTTGAATTACCTGAATCTGTTCTGTATTTTTCTTCCAGTTTTTTCTTCAAACCTTCCATCTCCTCCAAGAGTTCCCTGTTTCTTGCTTCCGATTCCTTTAATTTACTGAAGCAACACGACACGATCAAAACCCAACCTGAGACACCTCAAAGGCAGGAATGGCACTGCACAGGGTTGTTCACTTCTGCTCCTACACCTCACAGCTTTGGAAAATGCTTTGGAGGGGTTTTTGAGGGGTTTTTTTTTGAGAGTTGGTGGTGGCTTTTTGACATTTTGTTTTAAAGGCTGATTAATTTCATTTTTCCCCTGAATGGGTTCTCTCACTGCTTGACTAGAGAGTGAAAACTGTATTTGAGAGCCCTGCTATCACTGCAGGTATCTGCCAAATAGAATCATCCTAATGGCAGTACTAAATGTGGAATGTTTACCTGAATAAATGTGAAATGTTTACTTGAATAAACTTAAATATTTGACAACATCAGAAATGCGTAATCTGTAGCACAAGATATTTCTGGCAAAGTCCAACATCCCAGCCCTACAGGCCCAACTTAAGGAAGCTCTTATTCAGCATTAAACCCCAACCAGGCCCAAAGCCCTTCTTACCTCTCAAAAGAGATGTTTGCATCCTTAACTTTTCGGAGCTCTTCCTGCACGAGCTGCTTGGCACGAATTTCGGCGTCGAGAGCAGACTGCAATTCCAGCCGCGCCGACATATCCAGCTTCTGGCTGCGCCGCACTTTCCAGAGCGGGTCCTGTTGCAGTGAGTTACTGCACATTAGCATCAACTACCTCTAAAGGTATCGCTGTTCCCGTTCAAAGACATCAAAAAGCTTTCAGACTGGTTCAGACAATGTTTTTTTAATTAGACACGGGCAGTACGCTCGCTACCGGGAAATCAGTGGGTATTTTGTTACACAAAAGTGAAGTCGTGAGCAATTTCTGTAATGGTTGAAAACCCAAATGCTGAACACTGAGCATGAAAGTCAGGCTGAGAAAAGCCATTGAAAATGGATGGGTTTTCATCATCCAAACTAGAAAAGAGGATAAAACTTGCACAGTTACATCCTGCCCTTTCAAACACGAGGAGAATGTAAATATTTAATGCAAAGCACACTAATTTAAAAGATGCTAAGAGTGGCGAAAACACAAGAACATGAAATAATCTGGGTCTCGAGATACTCAAGATACCTATGATGTCTGCCTAAACAACTCTTACGCTTGCTAAGAGGCATAAGCCACGCTGCTGCACACACCACACGCTGCTCTACCACCCTCACAAGCTCATTTGTCGACCTTTTCCAAGCATTTTTCAGAGCGGACTACATTTCTGATATACCGTAACGGATCTCTCTCACATGAACTTGCAAACAACAGGCATTTTCTAATGCCAAGGTTCTGCTGAAGTTACAAAACCAGTTGCAATATGAAAAACCAGTGTTCCTTATTCTGGCAGTAGCCAAGAAGAAAACACCAACTGCATTTGATCGGATTTTTCTTTCTATTAAACCTCTCAACAATGTAATTTTTCCTTTATGACGTAGGCAAATGTGAGCTCATAGGAAGTGGTAACTTTCTCTTATTTTCTCTCATTATTTGCAAGAGATGAATAAGTTCTTATCAGTCTAAACCAGAGCAGATCGTGTCTGTGCATGGCACTGTGCCGCCTGGCATCGCTCGGGACGTGGGTTTCCATACAGAGCTGCACAGGGCTCTCCCTTTCCTAATGCAGGTACCCAGTACCTGCCAAGGCAAAACACTGTTTTCGTCTTTGAAACCATGAAGGCTCTTCTATTTTGCAGATTTTTTTGGGAATTCATGTTACAACTGTACGGGGAAATCACGGCATAAAGGTCTCGTTGTCCTGCATGTAAATAAAGTGACATGCTCTCAGCATCTCACCAATATCAACCACCAAATACTTATGCACAAAAAAAACCTTCACTTTGTTATCTCACTGTAAGGGCAATTAAAATTATTCACTGCATCTAATGTGTTGAGGTACACGTCTGCACTCCCCTTTAATGGTTTAAGCTACTGTTTCTCCTCTGTACTGTTTGTGATGGCAGATATTAATATGAAACAACTGGTCCCTGTAATCACAGAATCACAGAATGTGAAGAGTGGGAAGGGACCTGGAAAGCTCCCCCAGTGCAACCCCTGCCAGAGCAGGATCACCAGAGCAGTCACACAGGAACACGGCCAGGGCTTTGGGTGTCTGCACACAAGGAGACTCCACAACCTCTCTGGGCAGCCTGGGCCATGCTCCAGAACCCTCACACTCACAAACTTTGGCCTCATCTTCAGCTTGAACCTCCTGTGCTCCAGCTTGGGACCATTGCCCCTTGTCCTGGCATTGGCCATCCCAGAGCAGAGCCTGGCTCCTTCCTCCTGACACTGCCCTTTCCCAATGGATCCCCAGGAATGAGGGCACCCCTCAGGCTCCTCTGCTCCAAGCTCAAGAGCCCCAGCTCCCTCAGCCGCTCCTCAGCAGGAGATGCTCCACTCCCTCCAGCATCTCTGTGGCCCTGCTGGACTCTTTCAAGCAGTTCCTGTCCTTCTGGAGCTGAGGGCCCAGCACTGGACCCAAGATTGCAGCTGTGGTGTGAGCAGGGCAGAGCAGAGGGGCAGGAGAACCTCTCTGCCCTACAACCACCCCTTCTCATCCACCCCACGATGGCCTTGGCCTTCTTGGCTCAAGGGCACATTGCTGGCTCATGGGCATTGCTGCCACCAACACCCCAGGTCCTTTTCTGCCTGGTAATTCTCAACTTCTGGTCAGATTACCTGGATGCATTTCACAAGACAGATAGAAACTAGAAAGCAGAGCAGAGGATTTGAAAAGAATTCTGATTATAAACAGCTGAAACTAAAAATGTAGCTTCTTAGACATCTAAGAAGACATCTTGGACATCCCCAGAACAGCCCAAACTGTTGCTCTGCTCTTACCAGTGTCCGTGACCCCAGACTGGAACTCCGCAGTGACTCCAGCTCTTCGGTCATCTTGGAAGCCAATGCTTGGAGATAGCCACGAGCATCCTTCTCATCGCTCACCCTGGTGCGAACCACAAAACCCAGTTACTTAACACCAAACACTGCACCACCAAGTAATCAATGTCTGCGCTGGATTTAGGGACATAACAGAAATGGACAGAGCAGGGAAAACTCTGCCAGCAACAGAAAACTGAATACATCTTAGCTTGCCTGCTTTAGATTTTGCTTTTATCTGGTGCTCTTGATTGTGGCAGTTGCTAGGGAAACCCAAGCTTCCCTTTCACCACCAGTTGTGCAGAGATCATGGTTATGGTTTGCAACATGATCTGTATATTCTTGCCCAATCTTTACGAGGGCAAGTCCTTCTGGAAGGGCAGATACCTGCAGCCTATGAATCCCTTCACCATAGCCCCCTCCACTCACTAGCTGAAATAAATGCCTTTTCAAGCATAAGTATTAGCCAGAAACTAGAAATAAACCTAACTGAAAAGCACTGCTATGCAAGGCCCAGCCTGCAACAACATTCAGCTTCGGCCAGCAGAGCAGGACACATACATAGGTGACCAAATGTCTTACATGCTGAAAATAGTTTTAAATCATGACCATCTTCCTGGTTGAATTTATGAAAATTAATCAATGTACAATGCTTACGTTGATCCCAGACACACAGAAAGGGCCTGGCTATACGTTAAAAGAGAAGCCAATCCGTATTTCAAACGCTGAACGCGGCCATCTGGATCCCTAAGCAGCACCTACCACTGAATAATTTCAGCAATCTGAGCTTCCCAGTGAGCCACAGACTCCTTCTTTGCTGCTAGGTCCTGGAGCTCGTCTTCCAGCTGTCTGTTCTGTGCTGTTAACTTGTCCACGAAGGAGCAGAGCTGAAACAAAAAGATTAAATTCATTTGTGGTTTATGTCCGTTTCGGACTTTTCACATATGTTCATGTCTATACACCTACAGGATTGGAACAAACAGGACCACCTCAGGCTGTCTGGAAGCTCCAACACAGACCAAAGAAATGGAAATTGGGGTTGTTTTGGGGATTGGAGACCAGCTCCTGAGCAAAGAACATATTGGCAGGTGACACAAACCCATCCAGAACAAAGGAGAAGAAAAACCAAGTGTAAAAGTCATTGAGAGGAAAGAGGTTTAACTGCAAGCTGTCGGGAAGGCTGGCTTTGCTGGCCTTCATGAAGAAATCAGAAGGTGGTGCCCTCTGAGCTGTGGGAACCAACCCCACAGAGAGCCCTGCTGAGCTGCTAAAGTTCCTGTTCAGCCAGATCTGACATTTACATGGAGAAAACCCCATTTGTTTTATTCAGATATTGCCTGAACATTCCCAGATCTGTTCTGACCAGCGACAACTTCAACAGCAGAAAGCAACAAAGAATTCTGTTTTGCTCTAAAATGCTTCCTAAAATCCTTACCCTCTCGTTTTCTGTCGTCAGCTTTTTGTTATCTTCCAAAAGCATCGACCTCTCACGCTCGTATTTCTCTTTCATCGAACCCACTGCTTCCTCCATTTCGCTGTGCCTAAGGACAAGAAACAGAAACAAACACTTAAAACGCTGCTGAGCCTGTAAATGGGTTCTCCAAAAGGAATAAACAGTTAGGGTGGAATAACACCATGCACAGACACCTATGCAATGCAGTATGTGCAAAAAAGAAATCCAGAATTAATAAATCAGGCCCCTAAAGCTTACCTCTCTCGCTTTGTTTTCTCTAATTTATCCTTCAGTATCATGATCTCTTTCTGCAGCGCGAGCTGGTGGCTCTCCGAATCGTGGACCTCCTTTTTCACGTTTTTCACTTCCAAAACATGGGACGCTTCTCGTCGCACCAACTCTTCTTCATAAAATAAGATCTTCTTTTCCAGCTCGGACTTAATTTTGGAAAGCTCCTGCTGATGTTCTAGTGTGGCACCCGCTGCCCGGCCTCCCTGCTTCAGCTGCGAGAGGGGAGAAACCATCAGGAAGAGACCACGATCGTTACATTTTGGGAACATCATTTAAACTTAAAATTGCCCAATTGGTGGCACTTTGGAAAAATGTTTCTCTCAGCGAATTTCTACTTCAAGTAAAAAAAACCCCCACAAATAAGTCTGATCAGGTTAGGTCAGGCTTCTAGTAATGTTGTTTTTAAGACTCCCGCAGGTATCAGCAGTTGAATAAACAAAACTATTGCAGCTCCTTTAATGAGTAAAAAATTATCAGAAAAAATACGTAACCTTTAGAGCCTCCAGTTCATTTTCCAGCTGTTTGGAGAAGACCTCACTGTGCTCCCGAAGCTTGCGCTCTTTCGATGCCTCTGCTACGGCTTCTTCAAGTTGGGCTTCCAGCTGCAACGAGAGTAATTTCAGGTGACTTCAGCCCAAGATTGTGCTATCGGTGTCATTTGCTTCCTCTCCTCCATACAGATGAGCTTTTACAGATGATTTTTTGGACTGACGTGAACTACACCACGTGCAGAGATAACTACACAGCTTTTATTAATGCTATGAGAAGGAAATGGCATCAGGAAGTCACTGCAGTTGTGAAAGAAGAAAGCATCTCGCATTTACAGGTCAGCTCCATGCCTCTGTCTGCTAAGGCAGCTTAAAAATCCCAACCTTGGAGCCAAATTCTTGCAAAATACTTGAAATATTTTACAATAGAATATAAATAAAACCACTGAACACTTTTACTTTGCGTTTCTGGAACAAAATAAGCTTGATCATCCATTTATCAACTTCAGAAACTTTACCAGAAAGACATTTCAGCAGCAATTAAGGCAACTGCTGCAATTCAAGCAGAGTTTAAAAACCTGACAGGAAGAGTGAATTTGTTTTTCTGTATTTGAATTCAACCAAAGTTGTTTTTAGAAGGATTGTTCTGCGAATTGTGCGCCAAGGTAATGACCCCGTAGCCTATGTTCTGAACAGGAGATTGATACGGCTGCTGGGACAGGGATAGCAGGAGAATTTGTAAGAACAAAGACAGGGGGGATATAAATTCCCGCATGAAATATTTCCCTGAATAAGCAACACCACCTGAACGCCTGCTGCATCCTGAAATAGAGACGAGGTACCACAGCCCTGCTCGTAAAATATGGTACCAGAGCCTTTTGCCTGTCCCATTTAACTACCACTTCTTATTCAAGGATGTAAAATCTGAGAAACTTCATCTCTTACTGCATTTTCACGGACTGCCCTTCAATTTGCTTGAAGCTTTCTAGCAGTGCTTAGAAAGCTCTTGAATTCCTCTTCCCCCAGAAAATACATATAATTTGCTGATTTTTCAGTGATTAAAACACTCTGGGTTAACCACAATAGCTGCTGCTAATGCCCTCTCCTGGTTATCCACTTCATCTATGTAAAACCCTAAATTGCCTAGAATACTAATTGGAAATTACCTTGCTTAAAGATATTACAGACATTCTCTGCAACGACTAAGTGCAGAGGAAGGGAAACCACCTCTTTAGTCTGTATCACTACTCCTCCCTCCAGCTGAAGAGAAAAACGCAGTTGAAGAAAGAAATTAAGTTAGAATACTCCAACCTTAAAGCACATCAAGACTTGAAGTTTCCTATGAGCCAGAGTTTGCAAGAGTCAAAATGCAGGAACTAGGAAGGGCATATGGTGAGAACAGTTTGCTCCAGGTTAAAATGAGTGAGTATCTGGTTTATTTCCAAATATATATATATATCAGTAAAATATTTGTTATCATTATTATAACATTTGGAAACAAATTCAAGATTTTATTTTAAGTTATATGGAAGAATTCCCAGGGCAATTTCCTTGGGGCAATATCTTACGCATGGCTAAACTAAATTATTGTTAACAGCCCCAGTTTTTCCATGCAGCCACACATGAGCTACTGGATAAGTGGCAGCTGAAAGATGTTACTGTAAGGTATTTTATCAAGCTACCTCTTTTCGGATCTTCTCGGATTTACGGATGTCCTGCCGCATGGCATCAATTCTCTGCATGCTCACTTCCACCTCCTCCTCTTTGTCGCGAAGCAGGCGGGACAGCTTCTGCTTCTGGGAGCGCAAATCTCCCATCCTCTCACTGAGCTCGGAGAACTCCTGCACCGCCAGCTTTCTCTGCTGGTGGGCATCCCTCAGCTCTTTGGATTGCATCTTCAGTCGCTCTGAGGCTTCCACGAGTTGCTGGTTGAAATAACATTAAAAAAAATAATCATTTAAAAGTCATCTGAACTCCATAAATTCTTTCCAAGAAGAAAGGAAGTGGAAATAACTTAAACTATTACACTTCTAAATAACTTGATTTCAGATTACCACCAACAGTAATCTTCTTTTAAAGAAATGTTGTAGCAGACAGCACATTCAGAGGAGCCATCAAATGTCCTGCACCAGCACTGCGATGCTGCAGCAAATCTGGCGAAATTCTTCAGACAACTGAGGAAAATTCCTTAGAATAAACGGTGAAGCTCTAATGCTTTAACTGAAAGCATAAAAGCTCTCTCCTTTACGGCAAGCAGTTAACAAAAATTAACAAGGCTGAAAGACAAATTTGATTTTCTACATAAAATCATTTTGGGGGAGGAAGTAAGATCAGAACTAGACAACAGAATAGATGTGCACTGGCCAAGGGGCTTTAATTGACCTTTTGCTACTGCAAAGAGTAAGTGGGCTCAAGCTGGAGCAGTGACTTAGCTCTATTAACTCTTTCATATATATATGTGTGTGTCTGTATATATATATATAGCTGTGCATATATATGTGTGTGTACATACATATATATTTATATATATCACAGAATCACACAGAATCACAGAATCGCTCGGTTGGAAAAGCCCTCTGAGATCATCACGTCCAACCGCTCCTGTCTACCCCCTAAACCATATCCCTAAGTACCTCGTCTACCCGCTCTTTAAACACATCCAGGGATGGTGACTCCCCCACCTCCCTGGGCAGCCTGTGCCAGCTTCTGTCGACCCTCTCAGTAAACAACTTCCTCCTTATCTCTAACCTGAACCTTCCTTGGCACAGCTTGGTGCCATTTCCCCTTGTTCTATCCTCCATCACCTGGGA